TAAATTAAAAGCTGAGCCACCACTTAAATTAACAGTTTAACAGTTTATTAGATTTGTAAAGTATCTTATATTATTTCATCAGTTATTATAAAAATTTAGGTCTTTAATATAACTTTTTCTTTACGTGTTCTTCACCAGAAAATAAATTAATTTTGTATGTAGTTAAGCTGAGGTTTTGAATGTTTAATTGAGAGAGTTTCTGGCAATTGCTTTTGCTGCTAATATTTTTAGTCAGCTCTGTTTAAAACTATATTCCGGAAACTATAGACGGAATATATATATATTTACTATATTTTGGCTTTTGCTAGTCAATGCTTTTAATACGCGCCGGTAAAATATACGAGCAGCTTATTCTATTTAATGTGTAGTCTTAGACTACGTTATCGACATTCGAATTTCATTGTCTATTTTATTAATTTAAAACATCCATAAAACTGTGAAAATTTCGGCTGTAGTACAAGTTGGGCTTTTATATTCAAATTTAGAGTAAAATAAAAAAAGGTTATTTAAACCTTCTTCTGTATTTTCTCAGTTGTTCGAAACGTCGCGATATCTGTATAGTAGGGTCTGCATGATTTTATTTCTAGTCTTCAGTTAAAATAGCAACCATAACAGACTCTTTATATTCTCAGGCACAAACAGCGCAAGTTATGTAACGCGTTAGATTTTAACTCGTTCGTGTTGGTGCGGGCCAAAAACTGTTCCTCTCAAACATTTAAAGGGTACATATATACGAATTTTTGTTGGAATGTTTGAAGTGTTTGATCAGTATAATATAAAGTAAAAAAATATGCAAGAAAAGAAAAACGGATAGCTCTTTTCCGCTCGCACAGAGTGAAAAGGAAATCGAAATAAGTTGCCATAAAGTGAGAAGTTCGCCAAGTGAACTGTTCTTGCTAGAAAGTAGAAAAGTGCCCCAAGGTAAATTTCTGAATTGCTGATTACATTCCCCACCAAGGTTTGCAAAATTTGTTTTTTTAAGCACAATTAGAGTTTAGATTTGAAACATGAAAAGACAAATTGGTATGTCATTTCAGAAGATGTTTGATTCTGCGCCAAAATACGTATGTTAGAACAACTCAGTATAAATCTAATATACACGCTAAATCATGCTTTCGAGACACGAAAAACACAAGCTATATTTCATTAATCGACCCAGTAGAACATGAGATACAGAAATGTCCCATTTTGTTTTTAGCACTAGAGGGAATATTAGTCCGGAATGGGATATTAATCTCTAAACGGCACTTTACATTAACCCACTAGAAACAGCATGTGAGTTTCCAAATTGTTGCCAACAAATCGCCCTGCAAAATATTTAAAGAAATTAAATAATGAATAATCTGCATGAATGTATGCATATTTCTCGCATTATGAAAAAACAATGGTATCTAGAGCCATCAAATTTTGAATAACGTAGTCCAGCGCGCGAGATTGTCTATCGGAAATTCTAAAGATAGGCTGTTTTTAAATATTTTGTGATTTTGCTGTTGAATCGAATTTTATGAGGATTAACGTGAAATTGAATAAACAAAGTAAAACAAACGAACTATTAATAATAAAAAACAATAAAAAAGTTTTTTAAGTCTTAGTGAGAAAACTGAACGTTTGTATGATGAACTAAGAAAAGACAATAAAAACAGAAAAATGTATGCTTTAAAATATTTGTAATTTTTCTGTTGAACTGAATATATGGCGTAAGTGCGAAGAAAATGATGCTTAATGATAGAGGTGAAAAGATAAAAAAAAAGGGCTAATAGGAGTGAGTGTAACAACAGATTGGTAGACTTCGATCTCAGGGAGAGTGTAAGAAACCTTACGTTTCGGATGAAAGTTAAAATCTGAAAACTTTCAGATTTTGATATAGAATAGTTACGTCTCTAGAATAAAATACAAGTTTGCAAGAAATATATGGCTCTTCTGAGAAGCTCTGATTTCAACAAAATCATTATAGATTATTTTTTTGAAGGGGGGGATTGAGTGTTCCTATTTTAAATATAATAAATTATAGTTTTCTTCAAGTTGAGGTTCTGTAGTCGGTTGAATGTGCTTACCACAATGACACGGCGGTTAATAACGTTAAATCATGTAACATTCGCTGGGTAGCAGTAACACATGCTTGGATGCGGTGGTCTTTCCAGAATAGTTTTCGACTTTTGTTTGACTATTTAGGTCAAATAGATTTACTTGTTTAATACAGTTTTTTTTTGTTTCTCTTTTGCGGAGATTTGATATGCTAAATAATATTTTTATAATAAATTTATTTGCAAAAATTAAAATTTTTAGATCAGCTTAATTTCATCTTCTGCGATTTTAATTCGGTTTTTTCGAAGGATTTTCCGATCGCTTAGGACCGACTGACCTACGTTCAACTGCTGTTCAAATGGAATCCTTCTCCAACTTCAATCCTCAAGGTTCTCACTTGAGTATTTGCTACTACCACCAAGATCTGCACCAGCGGCGACTCCAGGCGGGCTCACGCCCGGCTACTTCGCTGCGACCTTCCACTACGACTTAAGCCTCCGACTAAGCGCGGCTCTACCATAGCGGCCTGGTGTGGGCTCGACGCTGGAGTGCCATCCATTTTCAGAGCTGGTTGCTCCGGTTTACATGTTACACACTCCATAGCGTATTCTAACTTCCATGGGCATCGTCAAATAAGCTCAAATTTAGATGTCTTCTAACAAGAATCATGATACTAATTCAGAAGTCAAACATGATCAGATCATGAGAAGAAAAAGAATCATGATGTTTTAAAATGACGCCTCTCGGTCCATCCATTTGACCCTTCGCAAGTGTACAGCTAGAACAGGAAAATGAATTGCATGAAATTTTATATTTAAATTCCACATTAATGGTACGGATGAACAACTTTTAATCAAAATCAGTCAAATGGTAAATACATCTTTGCTGACGTATTTCTGCGTTTTTAATTAATTTTCAATATTATCTGTAGTCTTCAAAAATATTAGAGCATTAATTATTTATTACAGCTTATACTTGAAACAGTTTTTGACAGCACTCCAAAAAACAAAAATTTAACTATTCCATTACATTTATCAAACCGAGTTGCTAATTAATTATTTTTCTGCGTTTTATTGGCAGTTTTCCAATATTTAAAAAATAATACATGTATTAAATTTTACACAGTTCTGCTTACGTCCTACATCTTAGTTGAAAGTCTATGAAATAATTTTCATCATGTAGAATAAAATAATACGCCTGTGTACATGAAGAAAAATTGAAGAATTAAGTTAAAAAAAAGAAACAGAAATAGTTTATCACTAAAATTATATTTTATGGAAAATATTGATTTTTGAACGGTTTATAGATAAAAATGCTTCTTCTAAAATTTTATTTATTTAACACAGAATTAAAGACTACCCTAAATGCCGTCCTGATTGAATGCTTACAAAAGAAAAACTTGCTTTTGATAATCGGAATACGATAGCATTTTCCCATAACTTGGAAGAAGATTGTGACGGCGATTCAAATTTTTAAAGATTTAAAAACTAATTAAAAAGGATGGTTATTTATAATTAATAGGTTACCAAAGTGATGATTTGGTTAATGTACAGGTTGAATATTTACAGGCTGGAATTTTTCATATTTCAAATATACAACCAGGATGCAAGTATAATATGTGAAGGTTCGTGATTATATTTTTTTCATTCTGCTTTATTTTATTTCATAACATCTCTTTTTGCCTTTGTTTTCTTTATTTTCTCTTATCTTTACATTTGCTTTAGTGTTGCTGCCGCTGCAGCGATTTTTGACCATAAATTGAATTTATGTTCACTCAGTGGGCCCGAATGCTTCCATATTCTAATACAACCATGAAGCGACATCATCTAAGTGAAACACAGCAAAGAATAAAATAAAGAACAGAAGTTTTGGAAGTCCAGTCGCTTTCCGGACGATAGTTAAAATCTGATTGGTTCTGTATTAGCCAGGCAAATGATGAGAAAATTCTGAGAGCCTGGATTCTGAGAATTCTGAGAGCATATTTAAATAAAAAGCAAACCTTGTACTGCTTCTGGTGTTCTAAGACTTTTAGCACAAATGCAAGTTTGAGTAATACATCTGTATTTATTGCTCATTTTCAAGCTTAAATTAGTCCTTTAGTTTCCAGCAATGAAACCTAAGAACAACATGAAGCTTGTTTTGAAAAATGGAAAAGTTTAATAACTAGTCTAATTGTCAGTAGAACAATTGATCAAGGTCAACCAAATAACATCATATGTCATCTTCTAAACGTGAACATAGCTCCCATAGCTTTTACTTTTAATGTCTAAGCTACTTTTCAAACACAAAGGATTGCGAAAACCATTTGAAAAATACTAGCGTATAGATACTTTAAACTTAAATTTAAACACCAAGAACTATTTTTATTAGACAAGAATCAGTATTATTCCTGTTTAAAAAGAGAGAAATATTTGTCAGTTTCTATTTTATCAAAGCTGGTAGAGTTCGGAATCTCATAAAGTTGTATATCCATAAATTATGATTTGCTTATGAATTCCAACAATTTATAAATCTGTAGCAACTTTGTTTGACAGTGAAAGCTCAAGAGAACAGATATGATTATTGAAATTGAGTGTAGTTTATATAAAGCACATTTGCTTTATAAGCTATATTCAGTTTTTAATATAATCGATATAGATTTGTTGCAACACAAGAACGAACATGAAAATAATTATTGGACAACTGAGCTGAGAAGAATAATATCAACAAAATTATTACCCCATAGATTAGGGCTAGCAGATGAAAATCACGATGAAAGTTAAAATTTAAATAAAAAAGGAAATATTTTTACATGCTATAAATACTTAAATTAATATGGCAAGTAACTGAGGATAAGGAAATGTTAATTATTTGCCACGTAATACTTCCAGTAAGATTATCATCACCAAACATTTAACTGCATATACCATAGAAGAAATTAAATATTCAAATTATTAAAATCTTATATTCAACTGAATACTTCATATTTCACTTACTTATGAGCACACTCTTTTGTAAGTAGGTAATGCCAAATGTGATATATAAAAAATTTCTAGGTCCCATGCCGGTTAAAACACATACAGCATTATACTTGGAACAACAATTACTTTCATTTAAAAAATAGGCACAGACGTTAAATTTTGTTGAAGGTAAATATATTAAAATAAAAAGAACTTATAAAAAAAAGTACTCAGGATTACAGGCTCACATCAAATACTACAGTTTGAGTGCGACCTGCATCCCTTGTGCTACTCACTCTTTACATTTAGTTGGCTTTGCTGCTGATATCTGAATAGTCGCCCTTTAGAATTTTATGTTTAAACAAAAGTCTCTACTTTTTTTTTTTCTTTCATTTTTTTTTTCCAATTTGTTTTGGCAGCTGAAAACGCTAACAGCAAAATCTTTTCCTGGTATTAGACGGTCAGCAGTAGGAGATAACATACTGATACACTGGCACTACGTTACAACCATATATAAGAAATCTTATCAGAAATCTTCGTTTCAAATTCAGAGTGAAAATAAAAGCAGTGAGCTGATATATTTATTTATGATAACGAGAGTTATGAAACAATACACATGGTAGTAATTTGGAAAATTTTACGGAAAACGAGCTACCACCAGAAATTCACTACAACCAATCCCTACTCAAATGATACGATCAATATAATGACTGAAAAGTTTCCTTACGCGATTTCCTCGTGAACCTCTCCAGAATAATAATAATCATGCTAATGTAAATAAATTGTATTTCGAAACATATTTCCAAATCATCAATGACAGTTTACTACTGATCTAAACATTGTTATTTTTATACTGAAAGACTTTTTTTCTAACGTTTTTACCACTTATACTGAATTCCCAATTTATAAGCTTTAATCATCGTAAAAAGAATTACATTCAAGTTCAACACATTTATCACCTTAAAGTCAATATTTTAATGGCTAAACACAACTTCAACCATACGAACGAGAAATACAAACGAAGCTATCACATGCGAATCAACTATATGAATGAAAGACAGTACCGTTACGTTCTTACGGGTTCGTGGATCTGGAGTGATTAACGACAACACTTGATGAAGAATGAAAGACAATTTATTACCCAAACTTCAGTATTTCGAAAAACTACGACAAACATGCTGAAATAATCAGCAACACAACCTTCAGGCTATCAGCTATAACGGTGAAGACAGCTTCACGGCAAAGCACCAGAGTACAGGTCCCGACTCGGTTCGGTCGTTCTCGGAACTCTTTGTACTCTGGAGACTACTCTCCACGCTACAACTCGCGATGCACTCGACAATACACTGGATAGCCTCAACGATGCACATTCTCCATGGACCAACTTGCGATACAGTCGACGAGCAACTCGACACTAGACTGACGATCAAATCGGTAGACCACAAGACACTCCATAGACTCACGATACTCTCGACGACCCGCTCGACACTAGACTGACGATCAGCTTTCTAAATGAGGCACTGACTGATTACAGGCAGTGCTTATATAGCTTTTGGGCTGCCTTCGAGAACCTTCTGGTACAAACCGGTAAGAATTTGTTCTAGAAGGTTTTTCATCCGTCTATAGCATATCGCCAATTATTTCGCCAAATGGGCGATCCTCGCCAAATATGGCGACCATGCCTTACCGTTTTTTGGCAACCCTACACCCGCTTTGCGGAAAAAGCTATATGACCGCAGCTGGAAATTTTGCAATAGTACATACTCTTGTCCAAATTTTAAGATACCTAGTTATTCCATTTCTTTAAAATGACAGTTGGTCAATAAAATTGCTGTGACACGAAGTAACAGTATAACAAATCTAAAATCTGTCTGAGAGTTAGACATGCTGGAATATGCAGAGGAGCATTTTAGTCATTGTCTTTTTGTGAAGGAAATTGTGTCCTCGTATAAGAAGACTTAATTCATACTAGCGCTTTAAAAACTTCACAGGCTAGCGAGACTGAGGATTATCGGACCGTGCATCTGCTGCTTGTGTTGGTCGTGATCCACAGATCGTTATAAAAATTCGAAAACTAAATGCAAACAGGGCGACACTGAGCGATGTGCGGAATCTTAAAGGCCTCATTCACCAGTTCTTGCAAGTACTGGCATTTTATTCTCATTACTGTTGGGGATTTTACTGGAGGGTTGGGATAGGAAACTGAGAAATACTAGATGCAGCACAAAATATCTTCTCGCACGGTGCGACAAAGTTTGACACGCCACGGATGGTCTGTACGGCGATCATTATTTTGCTTCCATTGATGCTATAGCACAGGGCTCAGAAGCTACAATGGAGCATTAAACAACGTTCCAGAAACATCAGTGACGTAATGTCGTCTTGTCTGATGAATCCCACTTTTACTTATAATTATATCCGTATGCAAGCAACGAAAGAAACGCACATCGGAAACTAACATTCTTCATCGTCATGTTGAAGTAGAGGGCACCACTGGATATATGTTCTGTCATCGCCATACAAAAATTTACAGAGCTTCATTTTCCGTAAAATGAATTGAGTTACTTATTTACCTCTCCTTTCCAAATGAAATTTGTTCTGCAACTCAGTTTCTAACTTGATCCTTTTCTTCACCGAATAATTTTAATATGGCCTGTTTAAACTCAGTGCACTGAAGGGGCCTAAGAATGCCTTGATGACAGAGCTATATCAGTTAAAAAGCCTAACCCTTCAAAATCGATACCCCTACTATTATTTTATGAATTTCCGGCACTGCATAAACAGCACGATTTGCTTCTCCAAGTCTTCCAAAAATGCACCCACCAATTCATTCAGAACGTCTTATGGAGAAAGAATTAATGTAGATTAGAAAGAAAGAATTTGATGACTAGTTATTTGGCCAAGGAATACATAACATTTTCTCCGTTAGAAGTCACAGAGGCTCACCAGCGACCGAGCGGTAAAGACGCTGAACACTAGTAGTTCGGTCCGAGGTTCGAATCCCGCGAACGGGCTGGCTGCATGGGTGTTTTCGTGGTTTTCCCCATGTGTAACGTGTACACCAGCTAGTTTCCCTTAGAAAGTCCTCCACGAAGGCATCCCTCTCCTTAGGCAGATAGCCCTAGTGTGCTTTGCCATAATTAATTAAATACACCTAAAATTTAATGTTAAGAGTGTTTAGATCATTGACTACTAAGTCGAGTATATTAAACGCAAAATTTATTAATGTAACTTAAAATATTGAATTGCTTTCATAATATCAGCCTTAAGTTGAATTTATTTAATTTTTTGTATTTGCCAATTTCTTGAAAGAGTTTTGATAAAATTTTCTTTGAGGTCTTTATCTATAGTATGAAATTTTTAGACTGCAAAGTATATTTACTTATTTACTTTTTAACTTTGATTGAAAAGGATTATTAAGAAGTATTCTTAAGAAAAACAATGATACTTTAAAGGGAAATTCGAAAAACAAGTATCGTTTTTATCTTCTTGAGATTAACGATGACTGTTCTAAAAAATAATTTTCTAATTAGGCAAAATTATAATCAATTTAAAATTATTAAATCAAAATGTTTAATGAATAATAAAAAACAGAGGCAGGTATTAACTTTTCCAAAGAGTATACGTTTAATACGAAGTTTTATAAAGCGCAATAAAAAGTATTATTGTCTGTTCATAATATTTATACTTAAATAAAAACTGTTGAAAAGTTATAGAACTTGAATCACAGTATATTAATGCAATGGTCTCAGAATAGCGTCTTCGAAATAATTTTTCACGGGCCACGAATACAGTTCATTTTTGTATAAATACTAAACTTATTAGTTTTAGAGATGTGGATAGAGCTTATATAAATACCTCCTTTTTTGAATTGTTTATAATCTTTGAATGTTTTTTTTTTCATGCGAAAATTCATTTTGTTGAAGTTAAAGTTGCAATTAAAATTAGAATAGTAATTTTATTTAAGAAATTTAACTCCCCAAGCTGTGCCTTAAAATAGGATAAATGGGGAAAGGCGTGTTCCAAGACAAATGTAAATCAAGTTGTTTTTCAAGACAAATAGAAATAATGGACCTTTGTAATAAATGTTGGCACTAAAACAGTATATTTTATTCGTAATAATCTGAAAGAAATTGCATGTTTTTTCTAGAAGACTACAAAATTTATCAAAATCGGAATGGCATCAAATGTTAGCATCTTGTTAGAAATAAGGAAGTTTGCAATCCTTTACATATCATCATATGTATTTTTTATGTCTGCAATATTTAAAAAGTTAAAAATTAGAATAGATTGTTATTATTTATTCTTAAGTTTTGTGCTAATTGGAAAGATTTTTCAGGAAACTTGGAGAATTTTTAGAAGTCGTTCATTCATTTAAATCTAAATTCATTTAAAAAGGGAATTTTTTAGTGGTTAAGGTTATTGAATTAAACACTTAATAATTTGAATTACTGAAATTGATGTCAGCTGCAAATTCAGTTTTTAGCTGTCAGTATATTTGCATTACACAATATGTAACTAACAAATGTTCCTGCAGCCCTTCAGATTTCATATAGAAAATAATTACAAATTTGAACTTTTCCTTTGATTTATTGTTATTATCACTGTTAATTGTTTTTATAAATTATTGTTTTAATAAATATTTAGGAGCCAAATTTAAAATTTAATTAAAATATTTTTATTTTGCTGAAAAACATTATTTTGTCACAAAAATTAATGTCTATTAGCTGTTTTCAGATTTTGCATTCGGTCTGCATGCACTTATGAGTATATTAAATTAAGATTATTCTAGATGACACCTGTGAATGTGTATCTGCGTTGTATACAATGTTATGAGTCTGATATATATATATATATATGTTACGGTGAAACACCGAAATCTGGAGAATGTTTTCTTTCACCGGTGAATGTCAACATTCACATAGTCTCTTGGTGTATGTCCGAAATATTTTCCAAATACTCTTATTTCTGACTTACACCGGTCAATGTCGACATTCACCATGTACTAGTGGTGAATGTTGAACATATAACAATATTATATTTTCTTGTCCGTAATTCAGTCGCGAATAAACGCACTTGAGACTTGAAATAAGAACTTAAGAACATGAGAACCTAAAACACACAATACATTCAAAATGAGAAAGGAAAACAATAGAAGTTAAAAACTTATTTAATTATACAGTACGTTCTAAATGAGAAAATAAAATAAAAGTAATAAAAAACTTACTAAATTATGTGATTCAAATCTTATTTATTGCAACAACTTAAACTATTATGGCACTTCATGACC